AAAAATGCCACAGGACCATCCAACGTCACAGAGACGCCATTTTTGAGAAAAAAGTGGTAAAAATGCCGTATTTTTAGTTCTTGACACCCATGGCTTCTGCTGTTTAGCGTATCCGCAACTTTTCTCGACGCCAACTAGTTAAGGGGTACCAGGACAAAACTTAATAACATTTGGAGCGTTGAACTAGGTGGGGAACTCGAGATATTTCGCCTCAAAGTTAACAAATATTTGAAAAATCTACCAAAAATGCCATTTACTGACACTTTTAAAGGCTTGGCTTCGGCTCTATGGTGAATCCGCAACTTTTCTCCACGCCAACTAGAAAAGGGGTACTAGGACAACACTTTATAGCATTTAGAGCATTGAGCTAGGTGGGGAACTCGAGATATTTCGCCTCAAAGTTTACAAATTTCCTAAAAATCTTCCAAAACTGCCATTTTTTGACATTTTCGAAACCCTGGCTTCGGCTCTATGGTGAATCTGCAACCTTTCTCGACGCCAACTAGTTAAGGGGTACTAGGACAACACTTGATAACGTTTGGAGCATTGAGCTAGGTGGGGAACTCGAGGTATTTCGCCTCAAAGTTTACAAATGTCCCAAAAATCTACCAAAAATGCCGTTTTCGAACATTTTTGAAGCCCTGACTTGGGCTCGAATCCGCAACTTTTCTCGACGCCAAGTAGTTGAGGGGTACTAGAACAACAGTTGAGATCATTTGGAGCATTGATCTAGGTGGGGAACTCGAGATATTTCGCCTCAAAGTTTCAAAATTTTCTAAAACCTACCAAAAATGCCGTTTTCTGACCTTTTTGAAGCCCTGGCTTCGGCTCTATGGCGAATCCACAACTTTTCTCGACGCTAACTAGTTAAGGGGTACTAGGACAAGACTTGGGAACATTTGGAGCATTGAGCTAGGTGGGGAACTCGAGATATTTCGCCTCAAAGTTTACAAATGTCCCAAAAAACTACCAAAATGCCATTTTCTGACCGTTTTTAAAGCTCTGGGTTCGGCTCTATGGCGAATCCGCAACTTTTCTCGACGCCAACTAGTAAAGGGGTACTAGGACAACACTTGATAACGTTTGGAGCATTGAGCTAGGTGGGGAACTCGAGATATTTCGCCTCAAAGTTTACAAATGTCCCAAAAAACTACCAAAAAAATTTTCTGACCGTTTTGAAAGCTTGGCTTCGGCTCTATGGCGAATCCGCAACTTTTCTCGACGCCAACCAGTAAAGGGGTACTAGGGCGACAGTTGAGATCGTTTGGAGCATTGAGCTAGGTGGGGAACTCGAGATATTTCGCCTCAAAGTTTCAAAATTTTCTAAAACCTACCAAAAATGCCATTTTCTGACCTTTTTGAAGCCCTGGCTTCGGCTCTATGGCGAATCCGCAACTTTTCTTGACGCTTACTAGTTGAGGGGTACTAGAACAACACTTGAGATCATTTTGAGCATTGAACTAGGTGGGGAACTCGAGATATTTTGCCTCGAAGTTTAAAAGTTTCAAAAAAATTACCAAAAAAGCCATTTTCTGACCTTTTTTAAGCCCTGACTTCGGCTCAAAGGTGAATCCGCAATTTTTTTTCGACGCCAAGTAGTTGAGGGGGACTAGAAGAACACTTGAGATCAGTTAGAGCATTGATTTAGGTGGGGAACTCAGGATATTTCGCCTCAAGTTTAAAAATTTTTTTAAAAACCCACCAAAAAAGCCATTTTCTGACCTTTTGGGAAACCCTGGCTCCCGGCCTATGGCGAATCCGCAACTTTTTTCGACGCCAACTAGTTTAAGGGTACTAGAACAACACTTGAGTTCATTTGGAGCATTGTGCTAGCTGGGGAACTCGAGAGATTTCGCCTCAAATATAACCAGTGTCTAAAAAAATCTACCAAAAATGCCAGTGTCTGACCTTTTTGTAGGCTTGGCTACTGCTCTAGGCTATCTCGAGTTCCCCCCCTAGCTCAATGCTCCAAATGATCTAGAGTCTTGTCGTAGTAGCCCTTAACTAGTGAGCGTCGAGAAAAGTTGCGGATTCACCTTAGAGCCGAAGCCAGGGCTACAAAAAAGGGCAAAAATAGCAGGTTTTTAGAAAAAAAAATTAACTTTGAGGCGTAATATCTCGAGTTCCCCACCTAGCTCAATGCTCTGAATGTTTTCAAGTGTTGTCCTAGTACCCCTTTACTATTTTGGGGTAGAGAAAAGTTGCGGATTCGCCCCAGCCGAAGACAAGCCTTCAAACAGGTCAGAAATTTGGGATTTTTGGTAGATTTTTAGGAAAATTTTTTAACTTTGAGGCGAAATATCTCGAGTTCCCCACCTAGATCAATGCTTCAAATGATCTTAAGTGTTGTTCTAGTACCCCTCAACTAGCTGGCGTCGAGAAAAGTTGCGGATTCACCATTGAGCCCAAGCTAGGGCTTCAAAAATGTTCAAAAATGGCATTTTTGGTAGATTTTTCTGATTTTGTAAACTTTGAGGCGAAATATCTCGAGTTCCCCACCTAGTTCAATGCTACAAAAGTTCTCAAGTCTTGTCCTAGTACCCCTTAAGAAGTTGGCGTCGAGAAAAGTTGCGGATTCGCTAAACAGCAGAAGCCATGGGTGTCAAGAACTGAAAATACGGCGTTTTTACCCCTTTTTTCTCAAAAATGGCGTCTCTGTGACGCTTGGATGGTCCTGTGGCACTTTTCCTACCAGAATGCGTCTTTCTGCATTAAGTTAAGTCAGTTAGAACAATAAAATATTTTTTTCCCACTTTTCGATCTTTCATTACACTGTGCAGTGTGGCGGTGTGGGTCGAAAATGCTGCCAACTGTCAATGGGGATTCGAAGCTTGGCATGTCTCGCGCTAATTTCAACTGAAGACCAATACGCCAGACTTCCTTCAAAAGTACTTGTGCTGCAACGAAAAATGTCCGCCGTATGTTCAATTTCACTACACAAATTTCGGAAAGGCAGCTCTGGACTTCTCCACAAGCCAAACTTTTAACTTTCCATGACACATGCCATCAAAGTGGAGTCCCTGGTATATAATTGCATAGGTCGCGGATATGTAAGATGCTGTACACGGTCTCAAAGCGGGCTAGAGCATTATTGGCTGAGCGATAGCGAAGCTTGTTACTCCATTGGGGTTGAAAAGTTTTTCCTGTCTGTCTGTCTGTCTGTCCGTCCGTCTGTGTGTGTGTCCGCACTACTCCTGAACGGCTCGGCCGATCTCGGTGAGATTTTGCACACTTTTTGGGCATGTCCTTGGCTCGGCACACGCGAAATTTCACTATCCTAGCTCAACTGGTTCAGTTTTTATAGCCGAAAAACTCCTAAAAAAAGGCGAAAAATCGAGTTTTCTGCAGGCAGATCACTTCTTTCTTGAAGAAGGGGGGTCTGGGGGGCGGAGCCCCCCAGCATGCATCAAGTTAGAAGTAACCGACGATGGACAAGCCATTGCCTGCCGAGGGCAGGCTAGCGCCGCAGGCCAAGGTAGGTACGCCACGCCAGGCGCGGATTGGAGGAACAGGCAGCGAGACATCGCGAAGCCTATTACGACACGACGCGGTCTGGCGTAAACCTACCTTGTAAAATGGCGTGTATCAACAATTACCTGTAACTTCCGTGGCACCCTTTACCCAATGTTGCAGCAGCACTAGGTGAAAAAATTTTCCTGCTTAAATGTCGGGCTTAGAGTATAATTTGACCCTGGAACGACTTTTAAGCCACAGCAAGCCCGAGTCAGCCGTTAAAGCCGATTTTCACACTTTGTAACTTCCGTGATAACGCAATTTCGGTGATCAAAACACCCACTAAAACGTGTGGGAATACCTCATGGCTCATGTTTTTAGGAAGGTAGTACAAGGTCTTTCCTATAAAGACCATTGCCATAACTCTAGTATCATCCAGGACCCCAATAATCAGAAAAACTTCATTGAATATTTCTTACTTTCGGCAAATCAGAGACGCCAAAACTACCCCGAAACGTGAGAATTGCTCATGTAGCGCCGTCGATTGGCGCGCGCAAGCAAACGCAGTCTGCGCTGCCGCAGTCATTGCTACTGTGCGTGCTCTCGCAAGAGCCTGCAGAGACTTTTCAATCGGAATACGAACGAAAAGCTCAACAAGAAGTCACTAAAGTAGCAACGTACACTGTAAATGTCTGACGGTGAAAGGCTGCACCAACAAATAATGGTGGAGATTTTTTTCCATAATACCAACGAAATTCGTCAAAGGTACAGTCCAAGGCACAGTAAATTCTCAATGGCATCTTATGAAGTCTGGTGTACCATCATCATATGGAACATTTTTACCAGTGAATCTTCTCTGGACAACATTTAGAGTTTAGATTTAACACGTTTTGTCGAAGTATACATGCGACTTTTGACATATTTCCGAGGGGGCAAAACCTCGCGCTATCATGTGTACACGGCCCCCGAAATCACATGCGAATCATTGAGAATCACACGAAATCAAGCAATCCGAAATCAACCAAAATCACTAAATTCGACCGAAATCAGGCAGAATCACACGAAAACAGGCAAAATCAGTCCGAAATCATTTCTTTCCGAACACAATTAAGACACACAAACACGCTCAACATCACCCTGGTGCGTCGCAAAATAAGGCGAATCAGCCATGAAATCATTGCGTTTTCCGAATCATGTGTACACGAAAATCCCGCGTTTTTGCCCCCTCGCATATTTCAGTTCGGTTTGCACCTAACTGTTACTTTTCCTAATCACTTTTGGAAAAATCACGGAACAATTTTCTTGATTTTTCAAGTGCTAAATCTTAACGCCAACCATTAGGGAATATGATGATATCCAAATCAAGTCGAACTCAACTTGTAAAATCTGCCCAAGCTAAAGTATTTTGAAATTCAAGCAGGATGGGTTTGCTGCCTTTGATTTGACATGATAAGCAAAAAAAAATTATATAAAAAAGACTTAATATAAGCCAGGGTAGACGGTTAGTGAATGAATTCCCCTCTTATCCTGTGCAGGAAACGGCCTCATTCCGAGTAAAAACGTCAGCAGTCGCCTTTTTCTCACTCCTGAAATGTCAGCCCAATTTTTGACGCTCACAATCACGGCTGCCTGCTGCTCCTATGCCATGGCTTCTCTCCAATCGTCAGCAGTCGAGAAGGTAAGTTGTTTAATGTTCCAGGGAAAAGTGACTGTTGAGACCCATGCTCAGCACCTCTATGAACTTCGTTTCAACAAGTGCCAAAACATTGAATACTGGAACTTCTCTGGCTGCACAATACGGTGGATCTTTATTTCTGACCCCCCCCCCCCCCGTTATTATTGGCGAAATGGGATCCCAAGGATAGCAGAAGACCATTAACGAGTCGCATTTGATCCGGAAACAATTGTATCAGCTTTGGGGGAGGGCTCAAAGTTGTGTCGAAACGCCCAAATTGGTGGTTATTCAAGTATTGCCGCCGAATCAGATAATATATCAAAACGCCTGAGGTCTCAAAAGATGGGGAATTTAATTACCTTTCCAACGAGCTATCAATCATTGTTGCAGTTCAAATGTTTCTACTTGAATCATTGCAATTTATGCAGAAAAGTGGGGGCAAAAATGTCAAAATCACTCCAATTTCGGTGGGGTGAAATTATAAAATTGGCCAAATCGATATCTCTTTATAGAAATGGATTGATCTCAACAAGACAAACAATAAACGTCAAAACATGCTTTGGTCTAAAATGCGAAAGTCGTGCAGGCTTCAGAAGACACAATTGTTGTGTTTCGTCATGTCCGCAGCACCCTCGGTCAAATTTACACCCCAAATTGAGCATCTTGGCCGTCGCAATTGAAAAAAAAAGGTCGTTGCACGTTGTTCCTTGTTTCATTGTGAACAAAATCTCCAATAATGACGTTTGTTCTAGTTGCACTTGACTTTAAGGACGAACTGTGACTGCTGAATATTCTTTTTTGAGGTGGCCTTGGAGAGCCTAAAGTATGAGAGCAATCGGCTGCTGACACCTGAAAACGTCCCCATGTCAGACGTAACAATTTTGATATACTTTGGATTCGTTACGAAGTGGATAGCTTATGATAATGGTGTTGGCAGTTGACTGTTCGTGCGGTGGAGATAACGAAAAGTGTTTATAGACAAACAACATAATCTTGTAAATTTATGACTCCTTTTATAAACAATTTGTACCAAAAATATTTGTAAATTCAGAAAAAAAAATTAAGGAGGACATCACTCCAAAAACAGTGCTTTTGTAAAAACGTCATAAAAACCAAACGGAAAGAGAAAAATTGTTCATATTTTAACAGGTAAAGTATAAAACAACACAAAGTCAATCCGCCAGGGCAGTACAGCGATTTCGTTGAAAACACATTTTTGAGTGTTAGGTTAGACCATTTCGTACTGTTGCAGCGCTGGACGCCAAACGGTTTGACCTAGAACATTGAAATTTGTTGACAGCCTTCATGAGATGTCTGGCTATGGTGGGTACCTCAATCACATTTCAAAAATCATTTTAAGTTGTGTTTGTTACATACCAAAAAATATTGTTCAACTTTTTTGGTCAAAATTGTTCAATTTCAAACGTTAAAAAAATAATAAAAATTGACCAATGCAAATTATTTTGCTACCCACCATAGCGGCATGTCGTAGGAGCTTCCATGCTAAATCTTCCCGCTGTAGCTCAAAAACTGCGCCCTAGAGGCCAGCAACCGTTTGCAATTACATGTTCCGAGAAAAACGCGATGAAAGTTGGGGGAACTGGGCTTTTCCCCTATGCATGTTTGCGGCGCACAACCTCCTAGAACTGCAATTTTTTGAATTCCGGAATGCGGTTTTCACTATTCAACGCAGAAAGGAATGGTCTATAATATAAACTAATAAAAAAAAGTTGCAATTTTTGATCACTTTGGAGTGATGTCCCCCCTTAAGAGTGCCGGGATGGGCTTCTCTTAGTGTGAACAGAACAGCACTGCAAAACCAAGGGTGGACAATACTCGCTTAAAATGTGAAAGTGTGTCATTCTTAGTCTCCGCACTTTGAAGAACAGAGTTTGCAATCTGCACTCACACCTATTTCATACATGCCAAGAAATACTGTAGGGCTTCTGTCAGCAGCTTCACACTCAAAGTACTAAATTCAGGAGTTAAATTTGGAGTAGTGTATATACAAGGTAGGTTTACGCCAGACCGCGTCTTGTTCTAACAGGCTTCGCTGCCTGTTTCTCCAATCCGCGCCTGGCGTACCTACCTTGGCCTGCGGCGCTAGCCTGCCTTCGGCAGGCAACGGCTTCTCCGTCGTCGGTTACGTCTAACTTGTTGCGTGCTAGGGGGCTCCACCCCCCAGACCCCCCTTCATTTTAGATAGAGTTGCTTCATGAACAGATAACCCGACCTTGACCCTTGTAATTTTTTCACTTGTCAAGTCTGCGGGGCTCGGCCCCCCCGACCCCCCTTTTTCAAGACAGAATTGATTTGCCTGCAGAAAACTCGATTTTTCGCCGTTTTTATGTGTTTTTCGGCTATTAAAACTGAACCAATTGAGCTAGGATAGTGAAATTTCGCGTGTGCCGAGCCAAGGACATACCTAAAGAGTGTGCAAAATCTCACCGAGATCGGCCGAGCCGTTCAGGAGGAGTAGTGCGGACACACAGACACACAGACAGACAGACAGAAAAAACTTTTCAACCCCACTGGAGTAACAGGCTTCGCTATCGCTCAGCCAATCACGTCACACGTGTCACTTGAAATATCCCACGCTCACGATGCGCTCCTCGTGACGATTCTGTTCTCTTCGAAAATGACAGTGTTGTTATTCACTAACTCAGTTCTACAAACTGAGTTCATAATGATACCGGGCTCTGAGAGTCAGCGGTGCTTTTCATGATAACTCGTGACTGTTTTTACGTTTTTCTCCTCCGAGTCGTCAGGGCACTGCACGAGTGCATCGCAAAGCGTGCCCCACCTCTGTATAAAGGTAGCTCACTGAAAACGTTATGGTCGGACACATGGCCAAATCGATGGGTCCTGTGAACAAAGACCGAGGTCGAGGGGTCCTATTCAAAAGATCTTATCTGGGCGTTCCCCCCAAGACAATCTTATCTTAAACGCAGGTGAATTTCACATAGTTTGATCATTTGATACATCTACATATCAATGTAATTTGTGAGTATGTTAAAGTAAATCTAAAGGTGGAAGATCAAAGAAACCAAAAGTGCATGTGGAAATATGTTTCGCTTACCGTCGTGTTTATTCTGACGGTTCAAAATGAGTGAAATTTGCAGGCCTTTAAGATAAGATTGTCTTGGGGGGAACGCCCAGATAAGATCTTTTGAATAGGACCCCTCGATGTCTTTTGGGTCGCTCGAACAAAGACCGATCTCCTTCGGGTCGCTCGAACAAAGTCCGATCTCCATTTTGGCGGGGGGGTTGTTCCACATTTCTGTTTGCCTTTTTAACCCCTTGTGTGGATCAAACAGAGATTGCGGGATTTCAAAAAAGCGTTGAAGGTTTTGTTAAAATATAAAAAGTTTTCTCTTTGTTGTGGACCCAAAAGTAGGATTTGTTCGGGACTTCAAAATGAACGCTTTGATAGGTCGAAAAGCGTGACCAAAAGTCACGCCAAAAATTGGCGTGACACGAAATTCACGCCGATGAACGGCGTGTCATGTGAGTCACGCCGCCATTTGGCGTGAATGACAATGCGTTTTATGAGACAAGTCATGCCAAAAAGCGGCATGACAAGAAATTAACACCAAAAATTGGCGCGAATTTTTGAGTCACGCCGATTTTTGGCGTGACTTTTGTGTCATGCCGTTTATTGGCGTGACACTTTATTCATGCCCCTGCAGCGGCACGAAGTCACGCCGGTAGATTTTCAGTGAGAAGCTGAACCTCAGACGGCATACTCCACTATGAACTTCCATCTGCGCTGAGTCTTGGCGCTGGCACACTATGGGTCAGAATCAGAAAAGCGATTTCAGTTATCGAAATGACATTGCTGCTAGGGGGGTTTGAGGTGCGCTGAGTCCATTTCTGGCGTCAATTTGAGTCGGTGGCGTGCCCTTGACCCATTGCCGTAGCTAAGAAAAACAAATTTAAAGAGATCTTCCCGAATGTTTTCTTGTTAAAGTGTTCCCAGGTGCGCTGAATCCATTTCTGGCGTTATTGGCTGAGCGATAGCGCAGCCTGTTACTCGGGTGGGGTTGAAAAGTTTTTCCTGTCTGCGTGCGTGCGTGCGTGTGTGTGTGTCCGCACTACTCCTCCTGAACGGCTCGGCCGATCTCGGTGAGATTTCGCACACTTTTTAGGTATATTCTTGGCTCAGCACACGCGAAATTTCACTGTCCTAGCTCAACTGGTTCAGTTTTTATAGCCGAAAAACACCTAAAAAACGGCTAAAAATCGAGTTTTTTTGCAGGCAGATCACTAACGTCTTGAGGAAAGGGGGGTCTGGGGGGCGGAGCCCCCCAGCCCCGACATGTTAAAACGTTACAAGGATCAAGATCGTGTTATCTGTATGAAGCAACTCTATCTAGAATGAAGGGGGGTCTGGGGGCGGAGCCCCCCAGCATGCAACTAGAAAGAAGTAACCGAGAGCAGTTCTCGCGAAATGTGATAATTTCGTGTCCTCTCTCTGGTTCTTCCAACCTGAAGTCGATTTGAACGGGGTCTTTTCCTACCTTAATGTTTTTTGACCTTGCGGACAAGGTACAATTCTTACCAGGATGAAGTTTTGCCTCCCTCCGCCATTAAATTGCAAGTTTTACCACAGAATGTAATTTCCGTGGACACTTTTTGATGTCCTACGCTCCAGATTTGGGGCTTCGCGCCTCTACTACAGCCCGAGGGAGTATGAGAAATCACTTTCGCGAAGTGCATTTTGTTTTACGCAAGTGAGGCTACGTTTTGACGTGTAGAACGTATCTCTCGGGTAAAATTTGCAGACACAAGATGACTCCGAAAATTGTCCTCCACAACTAAAATTCGAAAAGTCTAAAATCGGTTTTTTGAGACGGTTTTTCTACCTTATGTGCGATCGTTCTGAAACTTTTCTCATATTGTTGGTGCATTCGTTCTACACAATTTGCAAAGTGGCGGAGTAATGTGGCACCATTAGAACGGAAAATATAAACTTAAATAAGTTTCAAAGCGGCGAAAAAATT